CAAAATCACTGTGGATCGTGACTGTAGCCATGAAATTAAAAGATGCTTGCTCCTTGGAAGAAAAGCTATGACAAACCTAAACAGCATATTAAAAAGCAGAGACATCATTTTACCCACACAGGTCCATATCGTCAAAGCTATGGTTTTCCAGTAGTTATGCGTGGATATGAGAGTTGGACCATAAAGAATGTTGAGCACTGAAGAAGTGATGCTTTTGAACTGTGGTGTTGGAAAAGACTCTTCAGAGTCCTCTTGGACTGCAAGGAGACCAAACCAGTCCATCCTAAAGGAAATCAACCCAGAATATTCACTGGAAGAACTGATGCTGAAGCTGAAAGTCCAATACTTTGGCCACCTGATGTGAGGAACCGCCTTACTGGAAAGACCCTGACGTGGGGAAAGATTGAGAGCAGGGGGAGAAGCGAGGGACAGGGATGACATGATTGGATGGCCTCACCGACTCGAGATGTATGAGTCTGAGCGAGCTCCGGGAGACGGTGAAGGGCATTTCCTGTCTTTCAGTGCCGCCATCCATAGGGTGACAGAGTCAGACATGACTGAGCGACCAAGTAACAGTGCTTGGATTTTCACTTCTTACAATGACCAACACTTCTGAGGTTTCAAAAACTAAAACAGAGAACATTTTAAACTGAAAGCTGTCAACGATATATACTGCTTTGAAGGGAAACTATAGTGGCTTGTCTACACCGCTTTTTTGATTCGTGTGAAGCGTGTGTGTTCAGCTGTCTGACTCTTGGCGACCCCATGGGCCACCTCTGTCCATGGGATCGCCCCAGCAAGAGCACTGGGGTGGGTCAGTTCCTCCTTCCGTAATTCTGTGTTTAGCACCTTGAATACCGGGATTCTCATCCCTGATCCTCTAGTAACTAAATGTGGAATCTTGAGGAAGTCATACTCTTGACCTTAGTAAAATGAGAATGTGATGAACACTAAAGTTCCTTCTAGCACTAAAATTCTGTGAATTTAATCATATGTTTCCTTCAGTGGCTGTCTTAGTGCACTGCTTGTCTCATCTCTGTGAGTTCAAAAGTTGTTAAAATGAGTTAGTAATGTAGTTCTTATGTGTCTACTTATGAGATGAAGTGACTAAGAAACATAACTCCCATAGAAGAATAAGACAGATAATGCTAAAACCACCCTTCTCCTATGTTTCCATAACGGCCTTTCCACGAGCACAACATGGCATTCCTCAAGGTGTATGTATTTGGTTTCACATCCGTTCCCCTACAGATTCTGAGCCCTTGACGGTGCGGGAGGGGTCAAGAAAATGCATCTTCCTGGTGCCAAGCACTGACTTGAATATACCAGGTGATTTTGCTGAAGATATGAGTAAGTGAAGGAAGATTTGTATAAAAAAGATGATGGTCCTAAAAGAAAATGATACCTAGTTTTATGACTGGTAACCTGAAATCTTGTCTCTCTTCTTTGTAACACAGATTTTATTTAATTTGTGATGTATTCATGAGTCAGAAAAACTTGAGAAATTCTTGATAATTTTTACAAGCTTTATTGGCTTTTAGGTTGCTGCCAGATTAAGAGAGTCATCAAGAAAAATAAGGGGGGGCGGTGGCGAGCATCATGCTGTCTTGGATCAAATGCTACTGTTCTGCCTCCGACTGTGGCCTGTAGCCCAGGGTGCCTTCAGCCTGTTCTGGGAGGCTGGGAAGATGGGCAAGGATGTGAGGACTGTGTCATGTCTGGGGACTCTGGCTGGGAAACCTCACCTACAGCCTTCTCCTAGTGAGGCTACACCAGGGCCATCAATGAGAACCAGGGGCCACCCTCGCTAACTGCAGTCCTGCACACCATTGGAATCAATGACACGTCTCCTCAAACACCTGCCTAACAAAAAGCAAGTGAGTAAAGTGACAAAGGGTTCCTGGCTGTAATCCCAATCACAAAGCAATTTCCCTGTCCTTTTCCCTGGAGACTCTGTTTCTACTCCTGAGTGGGGATAAGAGCACCTGCTTCCTGAAAGGCAGGCACAGAGCTCCTCTTCCTTCCGCCTGGCTCCCCCAGACACAGAGCTCCTGTCCCTCCTCCTGCTCCCCAGGCGCAGAGCTCCTGTCCCTCCTCCTGGTCCCCAGGCATAGAGCTCCTGTCCCTTCCTGCTGGTCCCCAGACACAGAGCTCCTGTCCCTCCTCCTGATCCCCAGACACAGAGATCCTGTCCCTTCCTGCTGGTCCCCAGGCACAGAGCTCCTGTCCCTTCCTGCTGGTCCCCAGGCGCAGAGCTCCTGTCCCTTCCTGCTGGTCCCCAGGCGCAGAGCTCCTGTCCCTTCCTGCTGGTCCCCAGGCGCAGAGCTCCTGTCCCTTCCTGCTGGTCCCCAGGCGCAGAGCTCCTGTCCCTTCCTGCTGGTCCCCAGACACAGAGCTCCTATCCCTCCTCCTGGTCCCCAGACACAGAGATCCTGTCCCTTCCTGCTGGTCCCCAGGCACAGAGCTCCTGTCCCTTCCTGCTGGTCCCCAGACACAGAGCTCCTGTCCCTCCTCCTGATCCCCAGACACAGAGCTCCTATCCCTCCTCCTGGTCCCCAGACACAGAGATCCTGTCCCTTCCTGCTGGTCCCCAGGCACAGAGCTCCTGTCCCTTCCTGCTGGTCCCCAGGTGCAAGGCTCCTGTCCCTTCCTGCTGGTCCCCAGGCACAGAGCACCTGTCCTTCCTGCTGGTCCCCAGGCACAGAGCTCCGGTCCCTCCTCCTGGTCCCCAGACACAGAGATCCTGTCCCTTCCTGCTGGTCCCCAGACACAGAGCTCCTGTCCCTTCCTGCTGGTCCCCAGGCACAGAGCTCCTGTCCCTTCCTGCTGGTCCCCAGGTGCAAGGCTCCTGTCCCTTCCTGCTGGTCCCCAGGCACAGAGCACCTGTCCTTCCTCCTGGTCCCCAGGCGCAGAGCTCCTGTCCCTTCCTGCTGGTCCCCAGGCGCAGAGCTCCTGTCCCTCCTCCTGGTCCCCAGACACAGAGATCTTGTCCCTTCCTGCTGGTCCCCAGGCGCAGAGCTCCTGTCCCTTCCTGCTGGTCCCCGACACAGAGCTCCTGTCCCTCTTCCTGGTCCCCAGGCACAGAGCTCCTGTCCCTTCCTGCTGGTCCCCAGGCGCAGAGCTCCTGTCCCTTCCTGCTGGTCCCCAGGCACAGAGCTCCTGTCCCTTCCTGCTGGTCCCCAGGCGCAGAGCTCCTGTCCCTTCCTGCTGGTCCCCAGGCACAGAGCTCCTGTCCCTTCCTGCTGGTCCCCAGGCACAGAGATCCTGTCCCTTCCTGCTGGTCCCCAGGCGCAGAGCTCCTGTCCCTTCCTGCTGGTCCCCAGGCGCAGAGCTCCTGTCCCTTCCTGCTGGTCCCCAGGCACAGAGCTCCTGTCCCTCCTCCTGGTCCCCAGGCACAGACCTCCTGTCCCTTCCTGCTGGTCCCCAGGCGCAGAGCTCCTGTCCCTCCTCCTGGTCCCCAGGCACAGAGCTCCTGTCCCTTCCTGCTGGTCCCCAGGCACAGAGATCCTGTCCCTTCCTGCTGGTCCCCAGACACAGAGCTCCTGTCCCTTCCTGCTGGTCCCCAGGCGCAGAGCTCCTGTCCCTTCCTGCTGGTCCCCAGGTGCAAGGCTCCTGTCCCTTCCTGCTGGTCCCCAGGCACAGAGCACCTGTCCTTCCTCCTGGTCCCCAGGCGCAGAGCTCCTGTCCCTTCCTGCTGGTCCCCAGGCACAGAGCTCCGGTCCCTCCTCCTGGTCCCCAGGCGCAGAGCTCCTGTCCCTTCCTGCTGGTCCCCAGGCGCAGAGCTCCTGTCCCTCCTCCTGGTCCCCAGACACAGAGATCTTGTCCCTTCCTGCTGGTCCCCAGGCGCAGAGCTCCTGTCCCTTCCTGCTGGTCCCCGACACAGAGCTCCTGTCCCTCTTCCTGGTCCCCAGGCACAGAGCTCCTGTCCCTTCCTGCTGGTCCCCAGGCGCAGAGCTCCTGTCCCTTCCTGCTGGTCCCCAGGCACAGAGCTCCTGTCCCTTCCTGCTGGTCCCCAGGCGCAGAGCTCCTGTCCCTTCCTGCTGGTCCCCAGGCACAGAGCTCCTGTCCCTTCCTGCTGGTCCCCAGGCGCAGAGCTCCTGTCCCTTCCTGCTGGTCCCCAGGCACAGAGCTCCTGTCCCTTCCTGCTGGTCCCCAGGCACAGAGATCCTGTCCCTTCCTGCTGGTCCCCAGGCGCAGAGCTCCTGTCCCTTCCTGCTGGTCCCCAGGCACAGAGCTCCTGTCCCTTCCTGCTGGTCCCCAGGCACAGAGCTCCTGTCCCTCCTCCTGGTCCCCAGGCACAGACCTCCTGTCCCTTCCTGCTGGTCCCCAGGCGCAGAGCTCCTGTCCCTCCTCCTGGTCCCCAGGCACAGAGCTCCTGTCCCTTCCTGCTGGTCCCCGACACAGAGCTCCTGTCCCTTCCTGCTGGTCCCCAGGCGCAGAGCTCCTGTCCCTTCCTGCTGGTCCCCAGGCGCAGAGCTCCTGTCCCTTCCTGCTGGTCCCCAGGCGCAGAGCTCCTGTCCCTTCCTGCTGGTCCCCAGGCGCAGAGCTCCTGTCCCTTCCTGCTGGTCCCCAGGCGCAGAGCTCCTGTCCCTTCCTGCTGGTCCCCAGGCGCAGAGCTCCTGTCCCTTCCTGCTGGTCCCCAGGCGCAGAGCTCCTGTCCCTTCCTGCTGGTCCCCAGGCGCAGAGCTCCTGTCCCTTCCTGCTGGTCCCCAGGCGCAGAGCTCCTGTCCCTTCCTGCTGGTCCCCAGACACAGAGCTCCTGTCCCTCCTCCTGGTCCCCAGGCGCAGAGCTCCTGTTCCTTCTCCTGGGTCTCCCCTCCGTGGTGTCCTGCAGTGGTGCCCTAAAATCAACATAATTGAACCCCTCATGCAGAACAAGTGGTAGTCTGAGTGTCATTTATAAATGCCTTCCTCATGGAGACATATCAAATTATGCTTCACATAGAGATATTACGACTTTTAATACAACACAAGTAAAATATCAGTATTAAAGAACATACCACAGTATCCCGGGGTTCCACATACTGTCTTCATGAGTACTTGATGTTCCACGATTTTGGAGAGTCCAAAATCAGCTAAAAAGCCAAGAAAAAAAATTGATGAAATGAGCATTTTCTCAGCTTTTATAAGATAACAGATGACTATTTTATTATTCAAAGCAGAATTTGTCTGCTTTGGTGTTTGATCCTGGGGTGGATATAGAGGATGGTCACTGGGGAGAGCAAACTAAAGGAGCAAAATGACAATTCAAGTCTGGCCTCGAATTGGGAAGAAATTTACCCCGTGACTCCAGTATTTATTTTATGTTTTCTCTGTAATTACTAGCTTTTAGTAAATAAGCTATTTCTTCTGGAAATACTAGATGCAATGGATATATTTTGTATAATGTTAATTCTAAGATTTGAAACTAACTCTAAAGGACAGCATAGAATTACTAGTAAAATCAGAACTTTCAATCCATTGGAAGAAATTAGCATAAAAAAATTAGACTTTCTTAAATGTCAAGAAAATGAGCAGAAATATCAAAGGTTTATTCTGCTTCCAAATAAATAGTTTCATTCTTTAGTGTATTTGATGGACAAGAATTTACTCTCATTTGAGGAACATGTAACTCTGTGCAAAAATCCTTTTTATTTATTTCTCAGAATATTACCTAGATAAAACATGACCAAAAGTTGCTATCATTATACTCTATTTGCTGGGCTACATCTCTCTCACTAAGGAAACATGAGGAAACAGTTCAAGGGCATTCTTCAAGGGAGGCAGGTGCAGAACTGATGCCATTTTAGACTTCAAAGTTAAACCCGCATTTCCATGGAGTGCCGATCCTTATCAGAAAGAGCAGCAGGAAGTCCTTCAGAAAGGAAGGCTCTCCCAGCTAAATTAGTATCTATCCATCCATTTAAAGAGATCTCTTTAAGGATAAAATCTTTGAAAATGCTGTTAAAGGAAGCAACAAACGGAAGCCTCCTGCTGCTTGCTGCCTTTCAGGAGTGACCAAGAAAACAGGCTGGTGGCCCAGCAGGACCTCAGCATTTTTCCTTTAGGTTCTGGTATTCATAGGGTATATTATGTTGTCTGAGCTTTCCCGTGATATGTACAAATTAATTTTCAAATATCTTAACATAAATGCAGTGAACTCATTAGATTAGCATTACAAAGGACAGCACCAAGAGAGCAGTGCCCTTCAGAGGATTTAGAACAGATTCTCCAAAGGCGATCTCATCTAAACTAAACTTTATAATTATTTTTGTAAACAAAGATTTGCTTTGTATGGGACAAGGAAAGTAAATTTAATATACATTTTTTTTCTAAAATGCTGATTTACTGATCTCTCTGGGTAGATCAGAACTTTCCAAATCATCTCTGTAGTTCTTCAAGTTCTTATTGGGGGAAAAAAAATACAAATCAAAGTTTCCAGAGTTAAATAAGGCTTGGGAAGAGCCTTACAGACACTAATTTAGATGTTAAGTCCACACATTAGCACTTATAACTTTCTGAAAGCCCTGCAGAAATAAAGCCTTGCCTAGCTGACTCAGCGTTCCCTGACTTCCTTGACCAAGCCCAGCACCTCCATACTCGTCCCTGCAAGGGGTTCACCGCCCCCTTCTTGTTCACTGAGGACCGACGTTCTGTGGTGTGCACGTTGAGAAATACAGATCTCAATTTATCTCTGTTCATATAAACAAATGACTCAGAGCCAAAGTACACGGATATGTTCTAAGCATTTTGTGTCAGAGTTCTTCATTATCTAAAATGAAGCTCCAACTAACTTGTGATAAAAGTTGATAACCAAAAAGAAATGTTATGTAATCTGTGATTTTCTTCTATAATAAACTTATCTTCAAAATACAAGGTCAACTCCTGAAGTCCCTATCTTTTCCAAGGGCTGTGATTCCTTTGTGTGTTCAGCTATAAAGTACCAACTTGCACACATTAATTCAAGCTAATATTCTAGGAAAGAGTACAGACTTCCAAAACAATGTATTATTCCTTTACAGACTTCGTTATTTGAGGAAACTGAATGGAGACAAAACCGGACAGAGCAATATTTATAAATTCCACGGAATAGATCTCTTCTGCTTTGGGAACAGGGATTAAAAAGACATCAAGAAATACCCTTACCAATTTTGAGTGGCGCATCTGGTGCTGGAGTTGCATAGAGAAGATTCTCTGGTTTGAGATCACGATGGACAATCCCATTTTCATGTAGGTACTAAATATGGACAATAATGAAGTAACAGTCATGTAATTATATTTATGGTGCCAACATTTATAGGTAATCTTTCCAGAATTATAATAATCTTTACTAAGTTATATAATTCAAACACACATATTAAAATTTAAAAATAAACACCATAAAGGTGAATGCATTTTAAATTAAATGTCATTTGAGAATAGTTTATACGTAGCTTCCTAAAAATTAAATGCAACTTAAATTGTATAGAAGCTATTGCCACAAATAAAATATTTACTTCTCAGAGAACATTGGTTACAGTTCTCATATGCATATTATCCTATCAGCTCAAATAGGCTAATTATTATTATAAATAATAAAGTCAACATGCCCTGTGTTGAAATTTGTCTGATTCATTATCTGAAAGACATAATTCTATGTGTCATCTTAGAAGTTCACAACCATAGCAAAGACTTCATAATTATTGTTTGAACAGACATTTAGACGTGAGTAATTACTATAGGAAACTACTTTTAATATGATAAATATTGTTTAATGACAATAAATGCTTTCATAGGCTCTTTGAGGATTAGTATATCCAGCTATCATTGATATTATCTTAAAGATTACCTCTAACATTCATTTTATTATATTTTAAATTCTTTTGTAAATCATGTGTAATCACACATGAAGCACATTCTTGTTGCGAATGTTAAAGTTTTACCTGACCCTGCTTCTCCTCCAGGGGAAGTCTACGTCCTCTCCAAAAGTAATCATTCATCACTTTGAAATGGTCTGAACTTTTCTCTATGCATTTACAAATATGAGTACATGCATACAAAGAAATATACCTGACTTTTCCATTTTCTTACATAAACATATCACTAATAAAATTTTTCACACTGCTTTTATTTTTTTAACAACATGTTTTAAACTTTTTCCCATATGTCACCATAACTTATTTTATTTAACCCATGTATTCATTTTTTGTTGGATATATCACTTTTTATTTTGCTATTTCCACTTTGATGGACATCCAAATTTTTAATGCAGTAATAAACCTTCAATACTTACAAATGTGAGCATCTTTGCTGATATTCTCTAGGATAGATACCTGAAAGCAGGTCTGGTGTGGTCAAAAGGTATACAGATTTTTAATTTTAATATGTACTGCAAAATCACTTTCCTAAAAGACTCCAACAACATTTACTCACATAAACAGTGTAAGCGTATGTGTTTTCCTAATATCTAAATACCAAGTTTATATTTTTAACTTCTGCTGAGATGGAAGATAAAAATTATATGTTAAGTTTGGTTTAATTTGTCTTTCTCTGCTTACTCATATAGTCCACACACCATTATAAACACCATTTAGATCTCTTGGCTTACCTAAACTTCACAGCAGCTTTATGATGGAAGTCACATAATTCCTGCTCTGCAGATGAGAAAGCTGAAGGATAAAGAGGCTGAGAGATCCTTACAAGGTCACAACTGGATGTCGTGGTGGTGGGCTCAGATCTGGGCATCTGCCCATGCAGGATTCCCAAGCAGGAGCTCAAGAACCACTTACTGCTTGACCGTGTAGTGTGGGGATGAGATGAAAATACAAATAAAGGAGAAGAAGGGAGAACAATGGAGGAGAGACAAGGTATTTAGTAAGAGGGGGAGGAGAAATGAGAGTGGCAGAGGACCACACTCAGCCTCTAATCATACCCTGGAAGAAAACACCATCCCTGAGGAGGAACATATTATATCTTGTATATCTGCAGTGTGAAAGGCAAAGATGTGAGTGTCTCATACAATAGCTTTGGAACGTATCTAAGAATTGCATAAATCAATAGAAAATATTGATTTTCTAACCCTGTTTAGAAGCTCCATAGCTTGGGGAAGAAAATTATGCTGAAAATAGTGACACAGTAACAACAAATGAGATGAAGGGACAAGTGTTGGTTTAGCAAAGTACTAATTACATAAAGATTTTCATTAAATGTTGTTCTGGCTTTCTTGAACAAAAAAGGTGGTTATGTGTCTTAAGTGCAAATTTTAAAAAAGCAAGACAAAACAAACAAAACATCATTTGGCACTCCAAAAGGAGAGCTAAGAGAAGAAGAGTTTTATAGAAAATAATAGATCTAGGAGTCACGCACTACCAGAGGAACAAACTGAAAAGCAAATAATGGAATGAATGCCAATAGTCCTGATCCCGACTTCTAAAGACAGAGGCAACGATCATTTGCTGTAAGTGACTTGGTGTAGAAAGATTATTAATACTCATGATATAATCATCCAGACATGTGGGAGACTTTATTGACAAAATGGCAATCTTATTTTTGCTTAGACTCACTGATTGCCTTCGATCAATAGTTACTACTTTTAACCTTTACATTATTTCCAGCTGGGAAGCCAGGAAGAAGGCAAACATCGAGTATGGTCCTCTGCCTTCCCCAAAGGAGACACAGTCATCGGAAGTAGCTGTGCTTCTAGAGCGCCGGTTCTCAGACTTTCTGGCCTCAGAACTTCTTTACAGTTAAAATTTTTAAGAACCTCAAAGAGCTTTTGTTTATGTGAGCTCTACCTAACATTTAGTTACTGTGCAAATGGTTAAAACTGAGAAATAAAAAAATTACTTTCAATTTAAAAATAAAACAATAAATTCATGACAATATACACGTTTTAAAATGCAAACAACCATTTTCTAAGATATGGACCTAGTGAGCACTGTGCCGCCGTTCTAAAGTTCACGAACCTCTGTCACTTCTGGCTCAGCGGAAACCCGCTGGGCTCTCACAGGCACTCCTCCTTTCTCTGCCGTAGAATCACAGACCACGTTGCTGCTGCTCAGTCCCCAAGCTGTGTCCTGCTGTTTGTGACCCCATGGACTGCAGCGCGCCAGGCCTCCCTGTCCTTCACTGTCTCCCAGAGCCTGCTCAAACTCACGTCCATTGAGTCGGTGATGCCATCCAACCACCTCATCCTCTGTCGTCCCCTTCTCCTCCCGCCCTCAATCTTTCCCAGCATCAGCGTCTTTTCAAATGAGTTGGCTCTTGGCCAAAGTATTGGAGCTTCAGTTTCAGCATCAGTCCTTCCAGTGAATATTCAGAGTTGATTTCCTTTAGGATGAACTGGTTGGATCTCCTTGCAGTCCAAGCAACTCTCAAGAGTCTTCTCCAGCATCACAGTTTGAAAGCATTAATTCTTTGGTGCTCAGCTTTCTTTATGGTTCAACTCTCACATTCATACATGACTAACTGGAAAGTAAGGAAAAATGCTTTCATATTATGATGAAATGATTTTTGCTTCACAGACCCTCTGAAAGGGGTTTCAATGACCCTCAAAAAAATCCCTAGAATATCTTTGAAAAATTCTGTCTTATAGTATCAGAAGTCATAAAAGCCAACCCTAAATATTTGTTGGAAGGACTGATGCTGAAATAGCTCCAGTACTTTGGCCACCTCATGGGAAGAGCTGACTCACTGGAAAAGACCCTGATGCTGGGAAAGATTGAAGGCAGGAGGAGAAGGGGATGATAGGGGATGAGACGGTTGGATGGCATCACCAACTCAACAGACATGAGTTTGGGCAAGTTCCAGAAGACAGTGAAGGACAGGGAAGCCTGGCGTGCTGCAGTTCATGGGGTCACAGAGTCAGACACGACTGAGCGACTGAACAACCACGAGCTGAATAATAGGAACACTGCCCCTTATTTTCAAACTAGGTTTTAAATAAAATATACACTTCTAATCTCAACAAATCCTAATCTTATTTTGATACATTGAGATCACTGCACATGGAGAAGTGGGGAAGAAAAGGATATTAAGGGTGAAAAATGCTTCTCAAAATTGTGTACTCATAGGAAAATGCATCAAGACATTTTACCATATCATATGAATGACATAGAATTGATTAAGAAATACCTAATCACAAAGAAATAGACCTTATCAAGGTATTCTCAATCTTAGCTGCAGATTATTTAAATCATGGAGAGTCAACATAAATAGACAAGAGGATTAAAAAAACTAAAAAATAAGATTATTGGATATTCTAGAATAAGCCATCAGGGAAGCCCATTGTAGAATAAACCAAGTGTTAGAGGTAATAACAATTAAAGTAAATCATGGACAAGCAAGGAAACATATTGAAAATCTGAACAACAGTTTGGGAGAAGACCTACAATGTCTTCTATATAAATGCAACAATTTAATGGGAAGAAATAATGAATCTGACAAAAATTGTAGCACCTAATTATTGAAGTTTATCTTGAGTAACAGTAACTTTTAATAAAGAGACTGGAAGAGCAAATAACCAGATGTGTATGAATTTAATTAAAACTGGAATAAAAAGAAGGAGGAGGAGAAACAGACAGCCTCAGAGGCAGAGAAGCACACAACTAATTTACTGGCTCAATTTTTGGAAAGTGCATTCTCTTTTTAGAAAGAAAGCATTAAATGACAAGTGTAATTTTATCTGTAGACTAATCAAAATAGGAAACAAATACTTTTTAAGGATCTTATAATAATAAATTTAATGTCTTGGTACCAAAGGCATATCTTAGCTGAGTTCTGTTTCAGTATCACACTGTTGGTTTTGATCAAGGGTAATACAAGAAATAAGGTGTATAAAGCTTTGAGATATTGCTTTTGAAATGGTTATTAAGGAGTAACATCATGAGAGGTGCTCTGGGGCCATTTACACCAAGTATACTATTTATTATCTGTGTGACCTTAAGCAATTTGCCAATCCTCTAAATCTCAGCTTTCTCATCTGCAGTGTCCACTCTGCAGGCTGCAGTGAGAAACCCTTAGCATGGAGTAGATATTCTATTTCATAAACAGTAGTTATTGGGAATCTATCATTGTTCTTTTATGTCTCTTATAAAATGCATTTAGAAATCCTTTGAGATTTGGAATACTTGCTTTTTTCTGAAGTATCAAAGGATACTTTGATCAGAAAACACTTGCCTTTTGTTTCATTCCATCTCCTTCAGCTTTGGCTGCCAAGCAGCCCGGTGACAGAGACGCTCCAACCGCACTAATCAGCCT